CCATCTGTCCCTGCCCTCTGGCAGTGGGAAGCCATTCCCTGTGTCCTGTCCCTCCATCCCCTGTCAATGGTCTCTCTCCATCTTTCCTGGAGCTCCTTCAGGTCCTGGAAGGCCACAATTTGTCACCCCAAAGCTTCTCCTCTCCAGGCTGGACAATCCCAGCTCTCTCCCCTCTCCTCCCAGCAGAGCTGCTCCATCCTCTGACCATCCTGGAGCCTCCTCTGGACTCTCTCCAGCAGCTCCTTGTCCTTCCTTGTCCTTCCACATTTCCTGTGCTGGGAATGTTTAACCTGCAGGGCAGAGCCATCACAGCTCTCAAACCCTTGCAAGGTTCACACCTGCAGGAACGAGAGATCCTTGAGCATCCCAAGCACTCTTTGTTTAAAATGGTGCTTTCACGGTCAGTTCCTGCTGTGGGAACCTTCCCACACAGCTCTGGGACAGCTACAGGACCTGCAGCCCCCCTCTCCCAGTCCCCCCCTAAGTGTCCCTCCATTGTCACAGAGTCCTCTTATTTCCCTTTGTTTTCTGAGGGATGACAAACCTTTCTTATCCCACCATCCCTCAGGCTCTGCTGCCCCCACTCCTGACAGCCCCCCCAGCTCTGCTCTGGTTCTCAGGGTGCTGCTGCTCCTGAGAACAGCACTAATATCCCCATTTGCATCCCCAGCTCCTCTCAGGCAGCCTCATTATTCCCAAACATTGAGCAGACTCCCAGGGATGCTTGTTCCCTGCCATGCTGGCCCTGATGTTCCCCAGCCTGGATCAAATGGAAAATGCCAGGCTGCACTTTCACTCAGGTACCCCCATAAATAAGTCTCTTTAATTAAAAACAGCTCTTGATTTTTTATTTTTTTTTATTTTTTTTTTTTTTTTTACATCAAATCAAACGCTTTCTTATCTTTCAAGTGGTCCAGGTTCCCTGGGAGCTCCAGATTATTATTCCTGTGTGTTCAGGCCCAGCAGGGAACGGGACTTGCACTGAGAAGGCTCTTGCTGGGCAAGCAGCAGGACCTATAATGCCAATTAGGACGAGGTTTAGAGGGATTTAAGCCTCAGTCAGTCCCTCCCAGCGCCTGCACATGGGATGCAATTACCACCCATCAGCAGTGGAGGCGATTTGGGACCAGGGGGTTGGAATATTTTATCCATTTAAGCAAAACAGGGCTTGGATTTGCCCAATTTCTCGCTTTGTGCAAGGAAAAGTGAGAGTCTGGGGACATCACTGACCCTTGGAAGGGTCTGCTCAAGGCTAATGAAATCAGGCAAACATGCAGGAGAACATCGGTGATGTCCACAAGAACAGCAGTTCCGTTCCATTCCATTCCATTCATTTCTTCCCAGCAGGTACCTGTCTGTGGGATCTCATTGGAAAAAGGTGGGAAAATGCAGACACCTTCCAGTATCCCAGGTTGCTCCAAGCCCTGTCCAGCCTGGCCTTGGCCACTTCCAGGGCTGGGGCAAAACCCGAACCACGAGCCCAACTTCCCCTCCAAGCATTTTTCCTGGCTGGAGTTTTTGGTGGCCACTGAATCTCCTCCCCACTCAAGAAATATTCCCTCCAGACTCCCCCTCCTGGGGGAGCAGGAACAAAATGTCCTTTTCTGGTGCCTCATTTCCCAAGAAAATCCCACCACATTTAAATAAAGCAATTTTCATTATGATCTCCACTGCCCTTCCAGCCCCTTTAAATGGGACACACATTCCAGGACTTATTAAAATGAGAGGACTGAGAGGTAAAAGCGACTCCCAGAAGGGTTGTGTAATCCGTGTTCCCTGAGGAATTGGGCTGAAAATGCCGAGTATTAGTGAGCACAGCAGAAACACACATTTTTGCTGCCCCCCAAATAAATTGGGATTTAGATCCCTCATCAGAATGTCACTTTTGAGCTATTTTTTATTAATTTTCGCAGCCTAATTAAGGAATATGAGAGAAGCCATTGTGCTCTGGTGGGATTAGAGCAAATAATGGGGATTATGAAAGGCCTGGAGCCACTCCAGTAATACTTTAATCCCTGCAAATACACCCCTGCCCTCCTGGCATTAAAAAAAAATGAGGCAACATGCCAAAAAAAAAAAAAAAAAAAAAAAAAAAAAAAAAAAAAAAAAAAAAAAAAAACAACAAAAAAAACCCAACCCTCCAACATGAATAAAAAGCATTCCCTAGGGAGACAAATCTGACAGTCCTGGCAGTTTGACATGTTGTGCCACTTCAGAAGACACCAGCTCTCCAAAAATAAGCAGCTGATTAGGATCAGACACTGCATGTTCAGTCCATCCTGCAGGTTAGGCTTGGTCCCAGCTCCTGTTAGTCTGAAATGGCCCCGTTCCCACAGGTGAAGTTCCCAAAGATCAGTTCAAATCTATCCAACAGACTTAATGCTGGTGGTTTTTGGGAAAACAGTGCAAAAATCAAACGTTTTTTGCATAGATGTGTCCAGCAACTTCCAGAGATCTTTATGGAGCGGGGTGGGGTGGGGTCAGTGAGGTTCCAGTCTTGGTCCCTGAGGGAGATGGGAGGTGGTGGGCACCTGGAATGGTTGCAGGGTTTGAGGTCCAGTGGCACAGCAGGATTTTTTTTCAGCTGAAAAATAAGAGACCATTTCTTTTTAAGAGACCTGTTCCTGGTGTTTTTTGTTTTGTTTTTTTTTTTTTAAGCAGTGGATTCCAGAGCTTTTGTTGCTGTTTGTCACCACCTGCGTCGGAGGCCACCAGAGAGCAAGGCTTGTCTTGGAAACTCTCGAGTTTTATCTCCTGACTGGATTGCAAGGTGTGCTCGGCAGCTGACAGCTGACAGTCACAAATCTAATCAGCAGGAGGATGGAGGCAACCACCGGAACGGGAAAGGGCAGGGAAATGTCAGCGTTTGCAAAACACGATGAGATACAAAGTGAGCTTTTATTGACACGGGCTGTGGGCTCATTTCAGCTGCAGCAAAAACAGATTTAAATTCTGAAGGGCTGGGAGAAGGTTTAGCCCCACACAGACCAACAGCA